GTCTGAGAACCTCAACATATGTACGGCAACCACACTGTATATTTACACACTTTCATAAAGAAACTGCATATCAAGCTTTCATTCAGATGACCTTCAACAGTGCTGCACCCTGCTGAGGGACATCCGAGTAAAACCTTGAGATGGCCATTTTCTGTTCACTAACTTGCTTTAGTAAATCCTTACTTTTGTTAAATAAATCAGTTGTTGAACCCCCACTCCTCTGTTTGGTCTCCTTTCTTATTACAGCCCGCCACTTCCAGTCTGGGTTGTAACAATCTGCAGACAGATTTCTGAGTATCTCCTCCTTTGGTACACAGATCCTTACGGAGCCATGTACTGTGAACAAATAGTTTCTCCATGATATTATCCAGCAAGGTCTTGTTTTTGTCAAAACAAGGGTGAGGTAATGAAAAAATAGAAATATTTCATTAAATTAACATTTAAATTATTTATATGCATCATTAAAATAAAAAAAAAACATGTTTTGAAATATATAAAGTGCACCAAACTTGACTCAGTCCATTCAACAATTCTGAATGGACAATTATGTAACTCATCAATTAATTATTTGAAAGTATAATTTGTCAATTAAATACTGAAAAAAATAAACAATTCATTAATGAGGCAAGAACTTTTCTCTCTCTGTCTCTCTCTCTCTCTCTCTCTCTCTCTCTCTCTCTCTCTCTCTCTCTCTCTCTCTCTCTGTCTCTCTCTCTCTCTCTCTCTCTCTCTCTCTCTCTCTCTGGAAGCCCCACTCTGAGGGAGTTTGCAGTGTATTAGTGAGTCATATATTGTACAACCACAGTCATAAAGTTTTCAATCAGTAGTTTTATTTCAGTATGTATTTTTCCAGTATCACAAAAAATGTAATTTTATATGGTTAAAACCATCTAGCTTATGTGCACTTTTTAAAACACTGCCCAGCAAACATTCGGACGTTTAATGACAGTTGAACGGTCACAACTGTAAAATACCTGAAATTAAGAAAAATTAACATGACGTCTACTGCATTTTCCTTGCCTGGACTCGAACCTGGATCCTCCAGAGTGAGAGTCACCCGCTCTCCCAGCTGAGCTATGCCAGCAACTACTTGACTAGCAGACTTTTTTATATAGATAGGTAGAGAGTAAAGTGCGGGGTACACTAACCAATCAGAGGACAGAGAAGATCTGCCACAGGCCACGCCTCCAGAGTGCCAAAACCCTTACAGCCGAGCGAGCAGGAGTCAGAAACCGAGCGCGCAGAGAGGCTGCCGAGCGCGCACAGAGGCTGCCGCGCGCGCACGTTTTCCTCTGCCGTGTGCTCGTTGACAACGCGCGCACGCAGGTTTGTCACTTGTGCACATCCTTGTGCGCTCACAGACACAGTTTGCTCCCTCTCAGTGCACAAATGACCTCTCGCCATGTATTTTTCCGCTCGCGAGTCCCGTTCACACGCGCGCTGTGGACCCAATGCGCGTGCACGGGTTGTGGCACGCTTTAAACGCCATAGAATTTGTGTGTTTCAAGCGTCATCTGTTCTTTCATAATCCGTTGTCGAATTGTGAGCGGCAGAAGTTTTTCCGGTTTGTGCCTCACTTTTTTCACAGAAGCCCAAAGCGATCTACTAAGACATGGATTTTCTGCTTCTTGATCATGTGCCGTGTGACGTACGCGGATGAAGATCAGCTTTAGAGCTGTGGTGTTTATTCTCATGGTGAGGGGGCTCTTTCCGACGCATAAAAAATGCAAATGACGACTTTAACTGTCAATGGCAGTGAATGAGTTAAAGTCAAACAAAAAGATGTTGTGGCTTCTAAGGGGTACAAGAAATAACTGTTGCTGCTCTTGTTACTAGCTTTGGTTCTTTAAACAACTCTAGAGCGTTTTGCAGGCCATAGTTGAATTACAAATGTCGGCGCTCGCGGGAGACACAGCAACCTCACACTCACCGAGAACAACCCCCGCAGCCGGCGGAGAATGAAATTAGTTTCAGTATAACCTTCCTTCCAACATGATTGAGACAGACTGTAGAAATCTTACTTTATTCTTACACACTGCACCTTAAAGTATTTTTTTACTCATTTATCTGTACCTTTACATAAGTAAAAAAAAAAAAAAAACAGTGGAAACCACAGAACTGCTGCAACAAAATGTCCGTTAAATCTTTCAATCCAATTTGGGCTAAAGAAAGACCCTGCTAACACAAGAGCATGAATTAACTCATCACACTTTGAGCTGAAATGTGTGAGGAAAAAATATAACAGCAGTTACTGCAATTCAGACATCTTTGTGAAAAGGATGATTGTGTTGTAAGGATCAAGAGCCACGGACACCAAAGCATTTGATTGAAAAGAGTCTTTTATTTTCATTTTTTCCCTTGTGTTCAAGTACGGTCCTCTCCCAGCAGGGTCATCTAAGAAGCATGGACACACAATAACACACAACTTCAGCCACAGCATCTTCACTTCCGTTTTGTTTTGATTAGGGTGCAGGAGAGAGAGAGAGAGAGTGTGTGCGTGTGTGTGTGTGCGTGTGTGTGTGTAGGGAGAGGGGCTTCCTGGTTAGTTTAATGTTCCTGTTGTACACCACATAATCACTTTTTTTAAATCTCTGCAAATACTTGATGCATTTAGTGACATCGACATCAGCACATAAAAATTATATATCTATATAATTATATATTTATATTTATGTTCATGTATTTATAGATTCGTCTTTTATATCAACAATCATTCGTATTTTTTACTTTTATTTTCCTTGATGTAAAACCGGAGAAACTGTCTGTAGGAATGCCTTGATTGGACAGTGATTTTTCACAGGAAATGCTCACACACACACACACACACACACGCACGCACGCACACACTACCACACACATGCATGCATAGATACACTCGCTCAAGTTTACGTTTGCACACGCCGAGCCCATACGTTCTGCCACATTCATGCACACGCACACACACGCACACACATGCACACACACACACACGCACACGCACACACACTACCACACACATGCATGCATAGATACACTCGCTCAAGTTTACGTTTGCACACGCCGAGCCCATACGTTCTGCCACATTCATGCACATGTACACACACACACACGTACACGCACACACACACACACTACCACACACATGCATGCATAGATACACTCGCTCAAGTTTACGTTTGCACACGCCGAGCCCATACGTTCTGCCACATTCATGCACATGTACACACACACGCACACGCACACACACACAACCACACACATGCATGCATAGATACACTCGCTCAAGTTTACGTTTGCACACGCCGAGCCCATACGTTCTGCCACATTCATGCACATGTACACACACACGTACACACGCACGCACGCACGCACGCACGTACGCACACACACACACACACACACACACACACACACACACACACGCATAGATACACTCGCTCAAGTTTACGTTTGCACACGCCGAGCCCATACGTTCTGCCACATTCATGCACATGTACACACACACGCACACGCACACACACACACACTACCACACACATGCATGCATAGATACACTCGCTCAAGTTTACGTTTGCACACGCCGAGCCCATACGTTCTGCCACATTCATGCACATGTACACACACACGTACACACGCACGCACGCACGCACGCACGCGCGCACGCACACACACACACACACACACACACACACACACACACACACACACACACACACACACACACACACACACACACACACGCATAGATACACTCGCTCAAGTTTACGTTTTGCACACGCCGAGCCATACGTTCTGCCACATTCATGCACATGTACACACACACGTACGCACACGCACGCACGCACGCACGCACACACACACACACACACACACACGCTCAGCTGACGCAAGTACGGTTTCACCTGCTTGAAACACAAGAAAAGAATTGTTACAAACAGCAGAGAGAGTTATCAACTTTGACAAACTCCCCCTTTTCAAGTCCCCGAGGACCGGTCCCTTGATCTGTCAAAGTTTGGCACAATGTCACGTCTCTGCTATCTTCACCTGTACACCCACATGTACAACAATCATGGTGGAATTTGCTAAACAGACCAGTTTTGATGCAAAAGTGATGACGTATCACAGGATTTTGAACACTGTCAAACATATTAGATCCCCAAGAGTCCAAGGATGATGACCCCTTTCCAAAGACAGAGTGTGCTTTAAACAACAACAGGATAATCGCTTGGCAGTGAGAACAAAAAAAGCACTTTTCTTGATTGAGAATAGGGAGCCTCTGCTGCTGCGTCAATCTGGTGCTCTTACAGCTTTTAGCTGCTCTTGAGGTTTGATTCAGTCCACTTGAGGAATTTCACTTCATGGACAAAGAAACTCGAACAAATTCTCTCTGACCGGGAAAGGGGAAAAAACTTAAATATTGTCCATCTTTTTCTTCCCTCCTCTATCTCTTATGATTCACTTAGCTTGGAATTTTCTTTTTTCAGGGCATAAAAAGTTATGATGAAAAATGTGTAATATACACATCATATGATCTTACACCTGTACAAAAATGGTCAAACAAAAAGTGTGCGTTAAAAACATAAAATAGAAAAATACAAATGAACATGACATTCCTTAAAATATAAAAACCAAGGCCAAAAACAAGAAAAAACTCCAAATAAAAACTGTGCTACGTTTGTCACTTTGGTGAAATGGTAAACATCCACTTCCTGCCTTGAGGTTTGTGTGCTTTCATCTTTCTCTGTGCTTTTCCTTTTGTCCTCACCTCCTCTAGAACCTTCATGCCATCTGGGTCTCTCATCTCTGCCTACGACTAAAGGGACGGACCCCTTCCTCAGTCCTCCCACATCCAGATCGTCTTCATCCCTTTCTTTTCTAGTTTTCCATCTTTTCTCGCTTCTACACTCAAGGCATCTGCATCCACTTTCACTCTTGATAGGGCTCCTTTCCACTCTTATGCAAACCCGCCAAACACATTTCTCCATATCCGACTCCACTTAGAGATGAAATGGAGCTAGAGATGAAATGGAGCTAACTTCAACAAAATAACGTGGCCTGGAAATTAAAATGTTTGCATGCACATGCACGATCTTCCTTAGTCGCGTTCTGATTCCCCTTCTGACCCCATCAAGCTTTGTTCCAATTTTTATTTTGAAGAACACAAATTTCCTGCCTTGCAATGAGGTCCTTTTTCAAAATGCCACTTACATTAACATTGTGTTAATCTGCTGTAAGTCACCTGCAAAAATAACCCCTTTCACACAAGCACACACAGACCCCTCTCCCTCCCATCAGTAGAGTCAGACTAGACCCAGGAATCGGGCGAGGCCGGGTAGTGGCTGGTCTCGTAGTTCAGTTCGCTGTACGGCCGAGAGGCGGAGTAAAAGTCTACGTAGTTGCCAGTGGACTTAAGGCCCAGATGCATTCGCAGATCTTCCCGTGGGTCCCTTGGGGGTCCGGCAGAGCTCGGAGGCTGCTGGGGTTGGGCCTGAGGCGAAGCCTGTGCCTGCAGCTGTGGCTGTGGCTGGGATGGCGGCGGAGGCACTGGTCCCTGGTCTTCGTAAAAAGCTTCATCAAAGCTCCGACTCTGGCCGACAGGTGGAGGCTGTGGCGGCTGAGGCTGGGGGAAGGAAGGAGGAGGAGGATAGGGATCGTAGTCTTTTAGAACGGCTGCTGATGGACAGTCCTGCTGGGGTTGTGGGGGTACAACGCAGGGCTGGGGCGGACTCTAAAGGAGTGGTAGAATGAAGGAGAGGTGCGGCAGGCGAGGATGTAGTCACAGAAAGGATGGGCACAAATGGAGTGATGGAAAAGAGAGTGAACACAGGGAAAAAGGGACTGAAAAGCAGGCAGTGTGGGTAAAATAACTCCGATAGGAATCAGCTGAGCAGAGGCTCATGCTGTGAGTTTTCTATTACATGCAGGCATTTGAGGGGGCACTTTGCATCAAAACACTATCACACACAGACCAGTTTCATTTGTGTGCATCAGCGTGCAGATGTGAGGTGCAGCCATGTGAGCAAAATCCTCTTGCCTACAAACTCATCACATTTATCCGGTTAAGTTCACCCATCAGCTGTGAGAGCTGAACGAACACAAGCTTTAATTAGAGAATTAGGGCCGTTTCAGAGATCCAACAAAAACATCTAATGTTTCCTAGTCAGCTATGCTTCCTATTATCCCTTTGTGTTTACCAGCAGAGACAATAGGCAGAAATGGAACAGTTTCAGCCGGTTGGGTGTCGTTCTTGTTTCGGCGGTTACACGACGCCGTAGCCGTGTTCCCTCTAGGAGTTCCAGGAAACATCGGGAAGGAGAAGAAGTGACCGGGAGATACGATAGCTTGGTCCCCTCAGCCACTGCGTCTCCATATAAAATTGGCTCTTTCAGGACTTTGCTAAGAAGTCAGCATAACAACACCATTTCGGCAATGAGTGACATCACTGACCAGCGCCAAAAGGCCTTCTCGGACATTAAAAGTTCTGTTCTGTCAAAGTGCGCCTTAATATAATTGATTCTGAGATGAGTGACGTAAAAAGCAGCGCTCAGTAACCAGATGTTCTTTATGGAACTCTGCGAGGCTCTGTAAATTGGCGTTGTTGGCTTTCCCTCACATTTCTCCGTGTTACCGGAATTCTGTGAAACAGCAAATTTGAAGCAGCATGATTGCTGCTTATTTTCCCTTTCTTCCATTCTGCTTAATCAGCAATTTTTCCAATTTTACAAGTGCAGACAATTTGGCGACATCTGCTGACATCATCTCCTACTGACTCACAACCAATCAGCATGAGTTAACCACAAGTTCTGCTCATCTACACTACTGAGCCGTCATGGTGAACATTTCCCCGTTCAGGGACTTGGGTACGTCCTGAAATAGCCCCAAAAATGTTGCTTTTGGGACTGCCCGGTGAAATGGAGAATCGGTAAAATTAACCAGAAGTTCCGTTAGTGGAAACCAACCTAGTATCTTACTTGACCAAAGCATTTTTTAAATCTCTTTCTATTTGCATCGAGAGGAGCCAGCTGAGGTGGCTCGGCAATCTGGTCAGGATGCCTCCTGGTGAGGTTTTCTGGGCACGTCCAACCGGGAGGACACCTAAAGGTAGACCCAGGACACGGTGGAGGGACTATGTCTCTCACATGGCCAGGGAACACCTTGGGATTCCCCCGGAGGAGCTGGCCCAAGTGGCTGGGGAGAGGGAAGTCTGGGCCTCCTGCCTTAGGTTACTGCCCCCGTGACCTGACTCCGGATAAGCGGATGAAAATGGATGGATGGATCTTTCTATTTGCATCCAAAGTACCCCCTCCAATCTTCTTCACTGCATGCAAGGGCTCTAGAAACACATGCACTGCTACAATAGACTGCAAGTGGCTGAGTGTCACAGACTCACCTGGTTTTGCTTGATGTCATCGCTGCCTGTCAGGTAAGAGTTTCGGAACAACGTGGATGACCCACACGACACTTGGACTTCATTGAAAAGAAGACAGAATATCTTAATGAAAATGTAAGGAACTTCTAAACTGGATGGCTAAAGATCTCTGGGAGTGCAGGGCAACTATTCTGACTGTGACTCATCGTAAAGAAATCTTCGGGAGCAAAATTACAGAAAGAAAGCTAAATGTATTAGGAAAACCAGAGGAGGTGGGATAGTGGAGGGAGTTAGGATAATGGAAACCATGAGCTGGTAGGGGAAGAGACAACTCAAAGAGAGTAAGTGGTGAGCAAGTAGAAAGCAAAATAAAAATAAAAATTGACATAAATAAATAACAAATAAAAGACGACAAGTAAATTTAAAAAAATCCAAAGCAAGGATCTCTCTCTCTCTCTCTCTCTCTCTCTCTCCTCTCTCTCTCTCTCTCTCTCTCTCTCTCTCTCTCTCTCTCTCTCTCTCTCTCTCTCTCTCTCTCTCTCTCTCTCTCTCTCTCTCTCTCTCTCTCTCTCTCTCTCTCTCTCTCTCTCTCTCTCTCCTCTCTCTCTCTCTCTCTCTCTCTCTCTCTCTCTCTCTCTCTCTCTCTCTCTCTCTCTCTCTCTCTCTCTCTCTCTCTCCTCTCTCTCTCTCTCTCTCTCTCTCTCTCTCTCTCTCTCTCTCTACACACACACACACACACACACACACACACACACACACACCTGCCATGCCGTCTTTTCGGGATGTATGCTCTCCTTTGTTGCTATGGAAACCAGCGTTGGTTGCTGTGGAATCATAGTCCATCTTGCGTTCCTTCAGACTCATCATCTCTCTAGGGGAAGCTGGAGCACTCGCTACACACGCACACACACACACACACACACACACACACACACACGCACACACACACACAAACACACACGCACGCACGCACGCACACACACACACACACACACATTAGAGAGAACAATAAAGACCTGAACGTGGTTTTGTGTCTGTGCGTTTCTCGGACTTTCAAGGTGCAGAGTCATTATTCATCATTTAGCTTGTCAGCAGAGGGGGTCACCTCCAAGCACATTAAGGAACGTCGGGGAATTCAAACATGCATGTTTATAGATGCATTATTTGAATATCAAATCATGCATCTGGTGTAAATTTTCCCAACGTATTTCATTTTCTTCTTTTAAGAGTTTAAACAGATATGTGGCTGGCATCAGTCATAAACTGTGCAGGTGGAGATTTACAAAGCTGTACTGAACAGAATCACGACAGGTAACAACCTGGTCTAAAACACCGGCCAGAGATGACGCTCTTAGAGGTTCCAGTATGACTCAAAAAGTTTGCATTAGTTCAAATTTAAGATTAAATGTGTTTTAATGCAGCTAAAACAAACAGATAAATATATTTTAAACTATAACCTAATGGAAGAGAAGTTGTTGGTGCATCTTATGAAATAAGTTTTACTGTTGATGATTTAATTAAAAAATCTTCAGTAACAATTTAAATCTGTATGTCTGATTATTTAAAATAATAAATCATTGTCATCAGGGTGAAATGGAAAATTTCCCAAAATAAACCATCCTAATTTAAATTAATCCGTTTTCCTTTATTCAGCTGAACACAAACACATTTCTAACAAGGCTGGCACCTGTATCGTACTCTCTACTGTACTAATCTCCCCCATTTCCTCACACACACACGTGCGCACACACATACGCACACACATGCCAGCAGGTCATAATTTAAATCCCTTTACAGCCAGTGCTTACTCGGTGCCTCTGAAGTTCGTATTATGATGCCTTCCAGTGTAACGGCTGACCTAAACATTCCTGTAAGCAGCAACTATGCGTGCAGAATTACCAGTAATACCACCAAGGTTAAAAAAACAACTAGACATAAAAACAGTGGAAGTTTTTTTTATGTTTCTGATAAAAAAATCAAACAAACAACCAAGTAGATAATTTGATACACATTAAATCACCCTTCTGTGAATCAAGCTTTTGTTTGATTTGTATTTATAATTATTTTTTTGGTTGTATTTAAGTATTTTCCTTGAATAATGAATATAGACAGCCCAGAAATTGAGACAAACTTTAGTAACAAAACTTGCAGGCTGAAAGAGAGAGAGAATAGAGCCTTCTCAGTGGCAGGTCTGAAGATTTGGGACGACTTTCCTCTGTCCGCAAGGGCTTCTACATCTGTGGTGATTTTTAAAACAAGGCTGAAGATGTACTTTTATGATGGTGTTTTATTCTGGTTGTTAGTTTCTGTTTGTTTTATCAGTTTTATTAGGCCTGTGAAGCGCCTCGGTGTCGTATCTTATGTCTGTAAGGTGCTATGGGGAGCCTAAGTCTCCGCCCCTTCCGGTCGACTAATGGGTCCCTGGAACAACAAAAAATTAATGCAAGTGAACGAGGCTATAAAAGCTATTTTCTAATCTGCTCACTCCATGAATCACGTTTCATTTAAATAAACAGAAATTGTGAGTTTCGACTATGTCTGTCACGTACTTTTAGATTTGTTAGCTTATAAAAATTCGTAAATAAAATTACTACAAATCAGACTTCGCATTTGTGATGTCACCACAGAATCTCACTCACTCACCCCACGGCCAGATTGCTCGCTTTGGTTTTCCTCACATTTAAGGCTCCTTCTGTCGTTCAGGAAGGATTCGAAGCTCGCAAAACTTGCAGCCTATTTTCTGCGTGTCTGGTTCAACGACATCAATATGGTGAAACGCATTTGTAGTTCTGCATGTCTTTTACACAAAAGCTAAAATAACTTTAGCTGCCGTTTGAAAATAAGCACTTTCTTGGCATCAAAGTATGTCTTTAAAATTCCCGAGCATCAAACGTGAAACCAATAAAAAAACAGGATTAGAAAATAGCTTTTATAGCCCCACTGAGTTGCATTAATTTCTTCTTATTTCCGGAGACCCGTGGTCTGGAAGATAGGCGTGACTTTGGCGATTCCAAATAAAGACCGAGTTGAGAAGACGGACGGTGTATGGTGGACTGTGATGGGTAAAAACTGACATTAACTTTATTAATGTCCTGACTGTTTAACATCTGGTGTTTATTAAACGTAGCTTCATCTGTTTATTTTACTCTGTGATAGAGAACAGGCCCCTGCAGGTCTTACAGGGAGAATTGACCTTGCCTTGGCACCGACCTCTTATCAGTAAAACTCCCTTGAGAAAGTCCAGACTGCTTTGTTGATTCAGAATGCACCTGGAGTTAGATTCTCTTTCACAGCTTCCTGCCTGAGAGTCTCAAAATGTGTGTGCGTAATCTTTTGTGTGTGTGCTTCATAAATACTGTCGGAAGGCGTCAGCTCGATGAGAGTGAACTGGCAACCGTTGGCTGGTGTTTTTCCTCTCCACTTTGCAAAGTCTAAAATGATTGATCGTTGACTATTATAAGCCCTGTGCTTTGAACTTTCCTAAGGTAATCCTGGATTGATAAAATTACCCAACAGACTGCTCTTTGAAATTTCCATTGCTATGAATGTCACTTTGTTCACTGCTGTGATTGGTCCTAGAGTGTCCAGTTGTTTTTAAAAAACACAGTCGATCCCGCCCCTTCAACTGTGCTGTCTATGGGTCACGGCCAGACCATCTTTATATATATATATATATATATATATATATATATATATATATATATATATATATATATATAGGGCATCTTGTCAGCAACGCAACTCTACCACTGACTAAAGCCTGGTTTATGCTTCTCCGTCAGCTCCGCAAGGGACAGACACGCACAGATTGACGGAAGCGTTTTGCTCTCATACTTCTCCGTCTCCTGGGGAGTGTTGCAAAGCAGTTGCCCGGCAGGACAACAGAGGGCGTAGCGCTGTTCTGTGGTATCCTGTCATGTATCGGTCCAAGATAGTGTGTTTATATTGTGTTTTTTGTGTATATAAGAGACTTTTAACACGGACATATTTGTCTCTCATTCTCCTCCACCTCTTCATGCGCTCCCCACCTCTAAACCCACGTTTCCTGTCATTTCCGTCCACAAATAAAACGCTTGCTGCGCATCTTTCCACTCCTCCAGTCACGGGAGAATTAAACGTTCATATTTTTAGAGTTTTTTCGCGAGGTATTCTTCAAGCTTCTCCGTGTCTGCCGCTAGTTATCCTCGGCTCTCTTTGCAATGGCGGCGCTGTAAACAACAGCGGCGTCCTGACCAATCACAAGCTTGCGTAATCCGTCTCGTTCGACGGATGTTTAAAAAGTGGGCTCGACTCCGTACGTACTTGCGTGCCTGCCGGAGCCCTACGCAAGGACGGATAATGGCGTTGCGTGTCTCCGCACTGACGCAGACGGAGAAGCATAAATCAGGCTTTAGGTAGAGCATGCCAGGTGTCAGGGAGTTACCTTCTCAGCGTTTCTATCTCTTCTCCTGTACTTTATTCTCTTAACAAGAACTGCATCAGCAGCCATGGAAATGTCGATTTAAAGGGCACACATGTGATCAGTGATCTTTAACATCTCTGATATTTATTTGATTATTTTACACCTTGGCAGACTTCATTAAGGCGGTGTCTCAAACCTGTCAGAGAGCTTAGCAGAGAAAGCTGCTACGATTACCGATGGGTCCTGGCTTGGTTCTAGAAACCCAGGAGACTCACTGTATCAGCGTGAAACCCTGTGGGGGTCACGATGGATGCAAAGGTCTTTTCTCTCTCCTTTTTCATACTCTAAACTCAACTCTTGTTTCACAGTTTTATCATCCTCTCTTCACAACATTCCTCCTTTACGCCATGATTGCTCCCTTCTGCTTTGATCCATGTCTGCCGAGCGGCATTGCAGTCTGGAGCGTATGCAGAGAGGAGATACAAGTGAGAGTGTGCACTGGGGTGGTCTTTAAAGAGTGAGGGATCAGAAGCAGAGGTGAGAAGGAAAGTGGGAACAGGTGGAGGAGGAGAAGAATGAGGCTAGGCAGTGAGCAGGGAAGGGGGGAAGCGAAGGAGAAGAAATAGCGTGAAGAGAGAAGAGGAAGCATTTTCTCATTTTACCCTTACCGTAGCACACTCAATTCTCTATGCACTATGATCTCTAAACTACTTATTTTCAATGTCGCTTACCAAAGTCAAATCCTCAGCCTTCCTCCTCCCTGCAATAACCATCCCTCAATCCCTAATTCTTCTCATCTCCTTGCTTTTGCCTGTTTATCTTCCTCCCTGTTTATCTCCCCCCTTCGTCTGCCTCCATTTCCTCACACGCACACACAACTGCAAACTTTTTCTTCTGCCTCACTTCTTCTGTCTCTCTCTTAGCTGGGTCCTTGAAGACCTCGCTAAGCCGGGAGGAAGGAAAAAGTAATTTTCTGCCTCATCAGCTTGCTAAGCCCGGTGTGGAGAAAGAACACCTACAGGCTCTTCAGCTACTGATGCTAACAGCTAATGCTAATGCACTCTTGCACAGCATGAAGGCCAATGGGCTCAGGCTAAAGGCTAATGATAATCATACTTTATAGCATGACAGTCAATAAGGTGGTGACCACTGATGCTAAGAGCTATTTAGCCTTAGTGTAAAACCAATGGTCTGGTAAATGTTGATGCTACTGGCTAAATGATATGTATGCATGCCTTTGGTTGCAAACAGGTCAGTCTTTAGAGTAATTCCCATACACAGAAGAGAAAAGAAAATTCTGCCACAAATGAATTTAAAAGTGAAACAAACAGAATTAAATAAAATCCTAAATGTGCAGTTATGCACGGCATTACGTACTAATTCCTGTTTTGTTAGGAATAATCCTCCTTCCTAATATATTAATTAGGCAATTTGGAAATGTGCTTATTGGGTTCTCTTGAAGAGATTTGCGTGTTAAACATAAAGCTGGAGCAGGCAGAATGTACAATGAAGACTGAAAGCAGGACAGATCAGCAAATGTATTAAAAATTATGAATTTAAAATGACTATTTGCTCTAACCATAATCCTAATATTGTTTATTCATAACCACACTCTTCTAGCGCACAGAGAGCAATACGAATGCTTTGGTTTCTGTTCAGGATTAAAATAATCTAGGGACATGCTGGCGAGCAGATTCTCCACCATCCTCCCCACTGAATTCGCAAAATCACAATATCCCTCAAGATTTCAAATGCCACGGTTTGTTTATGCCAGGGGAATCCGATTCCAGGCCTGGAGGGCCGATATCCAGCAGGTTATGGTTTCAACTCTGCTGCAACACACCTGGTTTTAATCAGCAGGTGATTGACAGGCTTCTGCAGAGCTTGATTAGCTGCTGCACAGGTGATTCAAGTGTGTTGAATCAGAGAAACCACTAAAATGTGCTGGAAACTGGCTCTGCAGGACCGGAATTGAATACCGCTGGTTTATGCCGTTTGCTTATGTGATGTCATATATAATGTTGCTCCTTTCCAGTGTCAGAATTAAAGCTATGAAATACACATCGCTACATTTCTCGAAAGAAACTGGTAGTCAATAAAGCCGCCAGATCGCTTGTATAGATGTAACCTACATAGACATGAAATTGCATTGCTGCAGTAGTCTTTTATTTTTAAAATAACCAGACGTTTTACTCTGAAACCGTGTGATTTCCTATTTAGTCCTACGATAACTGTGGAATTAACGTGCCCCAGAAGGGGCTTGTAGCAAAAATGCTAGAACCCAATCCTATCTTTAGTAGCACGAGCCGTCTCTGGGACACGGCTAGTTTGAATAAATCCCACAAACTATGATGACTTGTATTTGAAGCAGCAACGTTCCGCTGATGCTGTGAAGTCGGGGTTATGGACAACTGTATCTCAGCAGCATAACGTGAGGATACATTTGTAAAACAATGGGTTTATGCTCTTTTGGCCAGCTAGCGGTGTGCTTCCAGTTGTAATTCCGGAAGTAGGGAAAAGGGCTTAAGGCGCAGTACATTTTTCCACCTCTAGATGGTGTCCTCTGAGAATAAAACCTCTGGATTTCTGCTTTAATGACAAATAACTCATGACAAGATAAGGGTTCAATTACTTTTTCGTAATAGGTCGTAATAAGTTACAGTAGTTTGGATAGTCTCACTGTAATTTTTCAAACGTATATTAAAAAATAAAAGGAAATTTTGCATCTGATAGAAAAAGGAGTCAACCGTAATGTGTAGCTCACCAGAGCGGTTATTTGGAGATGTCCTGACTGGAGACACAGAGGGAGTTCGGGATGAAGAGTAGGGCCTCTGCCTGTCTCTCTCTATTGTTGAAGCTGAGCCCACAAAGTGATGCTGGGAGTAACCATCCTACAAAACAAACAAGAAAAAATACTTACAATTCAAGTAACTGCACACACACACACACACACACACACACACACACACACACACACACACACACACACACGCACACGCACACGCACGCACGCACGCACACACGCTCAAGTGTGCACATTCTGACATATTTTAATAACAACAATATTTTGCACTTTTCAACAATAAGGCTTAATGATCCATTTTAAGAGATCAGAGGAATCAACATTTTCCGTGTCTCTTTTTTTTTGTCTAGCAGACGTGTGACTTCCTGTAGTTCAAACATCACTTTGCTCAGCCTGCTGGAGGCGGCAGCTCTTCAGAAGTGACTTCAACTCTGATTCAGCACTGACGAACCAGATTTCTATTTATAGCACTGCGGGTTGGAGTTAGATGTCTCCATGTAACAAAAGAACAAACAAACAAACAAACAAACAAACAAACATGTGTACAACAAAATGTGCTAGTATACAAAAATTGGATCAGCTCACAAAAATCTAAAATTTCTCACTGTTTCCCCAAAATATTGACAAAATGTTCTAACTTTTCTCAAACTAAAGCCAAACAGGGAAGGAGAGGGACAAAAACATTCCATTAACTCTAGCTATTCATCCCAAATTCAAAAGCTTTCATTAACAGTGAGCTTATTAAACATTCCAGTGTCCTTGTGGAAAAAAGAAATCCAAACAAAAAGTGCCCATGCATAATTACTGCCAAACCAATGACTTTGCATTAGCTAAACAGTGATTGGAGCAAAGCCCTTTTCATAAAAATGGATTATGAGGGTCAACAACAATCACGGCACTGGAACCAAATTTCATTTAGCATTAAGATAATTGGTTAGCCCAGGAAACAGGGCACATGGAGATGATGAGAGATAATAGACGTGTTCTATTAAAGTTCCATCATGTGACTGTGAAAACGTGGAAGAGGTGAATCACTTCAGAACAATGAGGCCTGGAGAGGAGGACATGCAGGGGAGGAGACGACTGAGGAGATGAGGCAGAGAGAGCAGGAGGTGGAATGGGAGAGTTGCAGCTGAGGAGAGCAAAAGATGACAAAAAGTAACAAGATCACGGAGGAGAAGGAAGGAGAAGTTTGGAAAGTAATCACAGGGGAGTAAGATAACAAAAGGAGGAGAAAAGAGGTGTATGAGTGATGCCACTAATAAAAAAACAGACACAAAATAGTTCAAAGGTAGACTCTCGCCTCATTTTCACTTCTCAATTTTTTCTGTTCTGCTCCAGTTTTTCCTCGCTCACCTCCTGTCACATTCCAGCTCTCCTTCCCCTCGCAACAAATCTCATTAAACACAACGTAACCTCCTGATGGTCCTCCGGACCGCCGTGTGATTGGAGACTGTCAGACTGTCATGCTGCTCAAGCGTGCTCGGCCGCTGAATATTGAATGATAAATGCATTCTGCAGAGTGATGTTTGTAGTGTGCCGTCTACAGATGTAGCTCACAAATGGGGCCGAGGAATGAGCCAGAGGGCACTCCTCCAGCAAAATAAGCACCTGAACCTTCAAATGGTTGCATTCTCCAGGCTGTCATGAGCAGGGAGTAGTGTTTAAGAGAGAATCTCAAAACCGCACGTAAACAGAATAAACTGAACATATATTTCTGTGGTGAAAAAATATTAAACTCAGATAAGATCCTGTCCGAACAACATCTAAAGATCTTTAAGGAACAGAAAGCTTTCATTAGAAATAGAAAATAAAGTATACTGGGAGGATTTATTTCAGTGTTGCACACATCCATGCACATCTCCTTCTCACCGTCCTAAAGTGGGTGAAACTGGAAAAAAACACACACACTCAATGGGAGAATTAGTGAACTCCATACCAAAAGGCCCACGGCTGAGACTAAAACCAAAAACTTTTGTATTTAAATGAAAAAGTTTGTTTTTTAAACTTCAAGCTAGAGCGTTACCTTGATCTCAGTGATTGTCGAGTTAGAAACTTGAATGAATGTAATTTATTAAGCGAGGTGGCCTGCTCTGGGGAGCCAGTGGTGTGGCCAACAATTTTTCAGGGGTGACCATGTACCCCCCCCCCCCCCCCCCCCCCCCCCCCCGGGCCACCGCTTGGGAAGTACCACTGCTCACAAGAATCAAAAATCCTTACTCCATAAAAGCACATTCTGGTCTGTAAGGGTGGAAAGTCCAAGGAGTTAATTGTTTTATATCTGAATAACCCAAAAGCCTCTAGAGAACAGATTAACATTTCGCAAATACGTAACTTGTTACTTGTAACTTGTACTGTTAATTATCCAATGGTCAGTCTCATTTGGATCAGCATATCAATGATCCTTGTCACTGGAAA